TGAAACTGAATCCTCGAATTGGACGCTTGTGGAAGGTTTAATTGGTAATTCAAGAGGTTATTGTGAAAATTGTACGATGTTATTACTATAGATAATATCAGTTCGTTGTGATGTAATATTTCTGAAATTACAAAGTCAATTTTAAAGTCATTTTGACCTTACAAATTTTACCGACTTTTGAAACATAAACTTCCATAAAGTAGTTCCAGAAAAAAGTGAATATTTTATTGGCATTGATAACTACCGGGGTCCTCGTGAATATTTCACTATTCTCCCTTTCTGTGTGTTGACAGTCGTATTTCCTCACGTGAATATTTAATTCGTCTCAATATTTTCTTTATTGACCAATTATTGTTATTTGGTTCCGTGACTTCTGCTTTGGGATGCGTCTGCGGTCCTGTGTTTGTTTTCCAGTTCCGGTGAGGGTTTTATTCAAATTCTGTCCCTTAAGACGGAACGGGAATATTTTTCTTTGAGCCTCGGACGACAGCAATGGCGTGCTATAGAGGAAATATTGACTACTCTAGGAGAAGCGCCCCGTCTGTCGGACCAGGATCTCTCGATTTGAATGGCGGACTCTCTCTTTCGACTTTCTGACTCATCCACTCTTTGTTTCGTCGTCATGTTAAACCTTTGTCAAAGGACGAAAAGAAGATCAAAATGACGCCCGTGTTACCTCGTTTCAAAGGCAACTGCTCAGGATTTAAAGAAACTAAGCAAACAAACTGTATCTTACTTTCCCGCCTTTTTCAAAATGTCGTCTGCCCAAATCTCGACCCTTCCCTCGTCTCTATCCAATTATTACTCCAATCTTATGACATTTGGCTGGTCGGTTTGTACCTTATTCAATTTACAGCATCACTTAAAGACAATCATTCATAGGGGAGCCGGTCCTCATTCAATAACACATCGGCCCCTTGGTTCGAGCCGCGGGCTGAAGCCCTGTGGGGTCCTCGCTTCAACCGTCATCAGGCTAACCAAATCTGTGCGGCACCCTCGGGGCGGCAGCAGCAACCGTCAAACTCCATCTGTCGCCGTCCCCGTCTCTGATTTATAAACAAACTTGCATGTTGTGCACATTACATCGATTGTAAATACCTTAGTGCGATATAACGTGCAGATACGACAATAATGTTAGCATGTTAACACACAATCCTAGTCCAGTATCTTTGTAACATCTTAAGTAGATGAGACTGACATGTCATCGCAAAGTATAATCGCAAATGTACTTTTTTCTCATGACTTTACAGGTCCACATTGTATATATGCATATTTATTAGCATTTCCTATTTATTCATATGTGTAAGAGAAGATAATGGGAATGACACTTGTGACAATGGTTTACAGTTTAGATGGTGGATAGACATGCATTACCATGGAAACCTCATTCGAATAGTCTGAAAAAGGACAAAGATAAAACCAGGTCCCTGTGAGAAATGTTGGAACTGGACATTGAAGCTGGGTACGCGAACTCTCCGTGTTGATTCATGCCATCTAACATCCCGTTAACAAGGGACTGTTTTCATACCACCATGGTGTTTGGGCATAAATAATTGAACAGATTTAAAAAGATATTCCGGGTTTTTAGTGACAACTCACAAGTCCGGAGAAGCGATTCTGGAACCAATTGCCATGTCCACGTGCTTCCTTATTGTCATTCTCACACAATTACTTAAGCGACGATGGTAAACTGTGGTTTGGGGACACTGAGACAATAATTTGTGACTAATTTGTCAAATCGTGGACACCGATAACTGGATTTGGACACGATACCGCTCTCAATTCGTCCCAAATTGAACACCTTGGGGGCTTGGTAATCACGTTAGCGCGTAACAAGCATTTCATCCATAGCGCCGGGCAGCACCAAGCGACTAGACAATATATGGCGAACAAGTCAGCTATTTTACTGGGAGTTTATCAGTCAATTTCCGTTCGTTTCTCTTCCTTCTGAAGCTTTTGATACTGTTGTTTGATGCCGCAATCGGTAACGTCATTCCTGTAATTTCGTTCCGTTTTATTTTCCTTGTGATGAACGTGTAATATGCAGTATTACCCTATTTGCGGTTCTGTGTTGTTGCAAAAGTGATCACGATTTTCTAAATTGTTATAAAAACGAATTATGATTTAATGTTGCGCTCATTGAGAACGCAAATTGAAGGCCATGTTTTTCATGGGTATTATTACGTTTGATGCAAGGCTGGCAATTCTGAGTACAAGAAAACTTATTTGACAAGTTCTGTGAACCAAAACCAACAGTTTTAATGATCATTTCAGTCCCAGGGGTGGAATAACCACATGCTTAATGAACAATACCTTTATGTTCATCAAGGAGCTTATGACAAACTCTTTGAAGTCGGACGTCCCTGAAACTAACAAATTATTAACTTGAATGTAGACGAAAAAAAACCCACCCTTAGCGAACCGAGAATATCCGATTGACTGATGTTTAAGTGTATATAACCCTACTGTTTATGGTAGTTTCAGAGAACGATCGATGTTTGCGTTTATATTTTTTTTCTCATCAACAATGCTGTTGGCCTACTTCATTAAAACTTCATGGGTCTCATTAAAACTAACTGATATCTAATTTGCCCCTCTCAAAGGTTGAGACTCGGTCGACACGGGTGAGGGTCTCGTACAATACGGACAAAACGATATTTCAAGATTAGCTTTGATTTGTCTCGTTGAGGGAGAGTTTACGTTAAGTTGTTGTGACACGAATCTTATTTATTATGTATGGTTTGTTTCAGCCGTCGCGCTGTGCTAGGCTGCCAGAGCCTTTGATTTATTCAAACACGTATATCAAAGACACATTTTCTTTAATGCTGCACATTGAATTAAACCAGTGACCTGATTTGTACGAAGACAAAATCTTAGTTGATGTACAGATAAATGGGATTTATGGGGATTTGTACGAAATTAATATATTTTGGGATTTTAAATCCTTTATCTTCTTATAATGCACATGAGAATTAATCTTTATTATTGATCAAGTTTCATTAAACCGAGAGAATTATTTTTTTAATATTTAAAAAAATAAACACTAATTCCTCTCGGGGTGGTTTTATTGGCAACGATCTATTGGAGGGGTATCATGATTATGTGTGTATGGATAATAGCAATAATTATTTGTTGGCATGTTTACAAAATCCTCCTGATCTCCCGCTGTTGTAATTGTCTGTAATCTTCATTCAACCACAAGCATCATTTGTGTTGTACACACACACATAGCAACGCTAAACACAGGCTTTGTTCGCCATTTCACCTTTATTTGTAAACTCGCCGATTAGGGAAGGGAAGCGCGCTGCAAGCTAGAACCACTCACCTAGGGGTCTACCATTAGTTCTCCGTCGGACGCAAAGTGAGAAAAAATATCATACATCGTTTAAGAAATTGAATAGAAATTCGAAAATTGGAATTCATATTGAATAGATAGCACACCGTTAGTGTTATAATTTGTTAAATTTGCGAAACACACGTGTTCAGGCGGTGTAGTGTTCTGTGCCAGATAATAATGTAACAGTTGGTTATGCGATATTTTGATTACAATTTCTCTTCAGTATGATTATCATTTGTGGTAAATCAATTGAAATGTATCGATCTTGTCGAATCATAATTTCCTTCCTTCCTCAACTATCCCGATCGTAATTGTGTTTTTCCTAATTAATATTTTTTTGCTCCTAAGATTTTTTTTTATTTCACAAAACAGCGTGATTTTTATTGAATATTTTAACAAATATTGCCAAATAAAGAGAAACTATTATATTAGCCTTTTAAGCTTCCAAAAAACTCTTTTCCTTTTTGTGTTTTGCAACACGCCGGCTGCATTCTGGGTATATTACCCTCGGTTTCCCGTCCTAGCTGGTATGTGAGTGTCGCTTTACAGAGACGCCGTTAGCTCCACATACTCAATTCAAGCATTAAAGAAAACAAACTTTGAGGGAAGAATTTGCGATACTTTGAGAGTGATATAGTGGAGGCGAGAGAATGCTTTTTACCAAACCCTCCGCCATATTTCACAGTCTGCATCAGCTGGGCCCTGCATCTGTGACAGGCTGCAGCGGATCAGCATCGTGTTCGTCTACTAAAACACAGTCATTGCTGAATAAGTAACATTTTTTTACCGCTCCAGAAAAACGTAACAATAATTCGTGCCCTCGACGTTGTATACGGTGACGCTGGGACAGGCCGGTTGTCACATTCTCTCCATCACAATGACTAACGACAGAAATACATGATTCATCGCCCAAGGACTATTCGCGTGATGTGGTCGAATGGATACAACGCGACTGGATTTCTCGTCGTGTGCGCTGGCCCATTTTAATTTCTATAAAGCCGTGATTTAATATTAAATATACGGCACGTCACTTGCCATGGAGCATACATTCCTTAAATGTTTGGACTGCGATGTTTCAGATGTACAGGATAAACATGAAGATTTACATGTAATATATACCTACAGTGATGTTTACATGTAATATATACCTACAGTGATGTTTAAAAGCAATATGCCACTTGACTGATGATTAGAGGTCGTGTATTATTGATAGTACAAAACATAGGATTTAAAAGCGCTGCTACTGCTATACTATAATGGGTTCCATAAAAGGATTTGCGTATGCTACTTTATATGTATTAATAAACAAGAAGTTTTCTGTACGAACAGGCTTAACTGTTTTGATGTGTTTCTCAAGCTGTGACGTTGGGTGAAATTGTTGCTATTTGTTCAGAACTGAATTGCAGTTCTTCGTAAATCATTGAATTACATTAACTCGCGTAAGCATAAAATTTTAGAGAACACAGTGTTGAGATCTATGCAGAGGGTCGCGCTGTTGCTGATGGTATACGGAGAGTAATATTCAGTTGTCAATTCGGACGATGAAGAGTAGTTGTGGTTTGGGGAACAGCATTCAGTAGATGATGTTGTTGCCAACTCATGCTGTTGATGGTGCTGTTGATCGTGAAGAGATTCAGATTAATCACTGCTTCGGTTGTTTTAGGTTCAGACGGAGAGGACGAGGGCGACCCCGACAGCGGCATCGACACGCAAGGCAACATCTCGGACAAAGACTTCGCTCTGGAAGCCGATAATAGCAAAGAAGAGAAAGAAAATATCATGTCGGGTATTGGGAATAATAACAACACTAACTTCATGAACAATAACAACAACAACAGCAGTATGGGGTCGAACCCCGTGTTGTCCCCAAGCCTCAACAGCCCTGCCCCCATTAAGGAGGAACCCCTCCGACCAGACTCCTGTCCCCTCGACGTGAGTCCAGCATCAGTAGATTCCAATGCTTCTGTGGGTTCGAATCTTGGACTAGACACATCCAGTGGTAATATTAAATGTAACGAAAGTACCGGAAGCGGAAGTCCTCAGAGCGGTACCCAAGGAAGTGGGGTCGGGGGGTCGAACGGCTCCGGGAATAGCGGAAGCGGAAACACACAGGTTGGGGCCAAAAGACGGGGTCCAAGAACCACGATTAAAGCTAAGCAGTTGGAGACTCTTAAAGCAGCATTTGCTGCCACGCCGAAACCAACTCGACATATACGTGAACAGCTTGCTCAAGAGACAGGGCTCAACATGAGAGTGATTCAGGTAAGAGTATGTCTTGCATTAATCTCTTACCACCATCTTTGTATTCCAGAAAGGCCTCGAGTCGCTCTGTTCGGGGGTGACGGGATTGGCATTGTCAGCGCTATTGTCGCGAGTGTCAGCTGAACGGGGGGTGTCTCGGGGTAACGCGGTAGCCCGGGGTGGGGGGCAAGAAACGGCCTTCTGTGCCATTCTGGGGACATGCTTAGATGTCACATCTCGTCACGCTTCGGTTCTTTGCGAGGATGCGTTACTTATTTTGATAAAAAAATTCAATTCTATTCCAATAGTAAAACTCCATCGCCTAATTTCTTTAAGCAGTGTTTGTGTTGGCAGTTGTGTTATGATGCGACGGGCTTGAGTCTATCACAGGCCAGGCCACTGTTTCCTTCAATGCCTTTAATAATGTCCTTCTTCAAGTGCATTGTCTGGCTTTCTATTGCCATTGTGGGCTTGAGGGTATCACGAGTTTCGAGTGATTGTACGCTTATTCCAAGCTTGCTGTATCTATGTGTGCCTGTTGCCCCCTTTATCTCGATAATACCTTATAATTTGTAATCCCATTTCCATTTCGCTCCAAGTATTGTCACGTTGAAGGGCTCGGATGTAAAAATGATAAATCAGATGTATTGACAGACAGATTCTCTTTATACCCTCTTGACGCTCGAGAACTCACACCTCTGTTGGGACTTTAAGGTGAAGAGCTCAGCGCCTCTTTGAAATTTTCCAAGCGAGAGTGTTCAACAAAAGCTTACACTCCTTTTAGAATTTTATGGTAGAAGCTACGCGAGTCTTTTCAACCTTCTTTCTTCGAGAGTGAGAAAGGGGAGAGTATCGCGTCATATTGTAACCTTGTAATCATTTTTTCCTAAGGTCGCGGCCCGCTGCATAAATGTTTGTGAATATTCCGAGATTAGCTGAAACCGAACCTCGCATCGGACACGTTGTTTCAGTTCAAGGCGTCAAGTTTCTCTCACACTCAGTGAGCTGTTCCTACATCCTACACCGCAGTAAACGCGTTAACAACACTCCTCCCGGCGACTGGACGAGTTAAGAAAACGGACATTCTTCTAAAAACCACTGAACTCATTAACCCCAAGTATAAACTCCGTTTGATGTAAACTTATGTCTTCCAAGGAAGAATTCTCTCCAAATGTTCTGTTTCTTTGTGGACCTCTCGGGGCTTTCAATATGAGCTTCCCTCTGGGTGGTATGGTTGGTAGATTGGTAGAGCCGAGGTTCTTCAGCATAACCTATACCAGGCTTTGTTTTGGTACAAAGACACGCATACTACTGTTGTACAGAGAAATATCAGCGCGGAAATTACATCAAATTTTATGATGGTGATTCTGCTGTAAGATACGTTTTATTGTCTCCCTTGTATTGTTTATTTTCCGTTACAATGCCTGTAGCTATGAAGGCACATACCCACTTTGTATAGTCTGCAGGGGGATATCAAAGTGTCTGTATGCGAGTTCAACAGAAGGAGCCCTCTGCTCAGTTGTACAATAGAATGTAGGTCTAATGCATGAAAAACTGAGATCAAAGAAAACAGCTCTTTGACAAGTTATTGCAAGACAGAACCCTGAACGAAGTAGGAAACCAGTGTTTTAGACTCCACACATTTTTAAATTTCATATTTACACCCCGCATAGTCTGACGATTTGGGTGGGCTAAGTCAAACATGTTTTTATACATAACAATAGATCAGGCTTAAATTAGATGTTCTACTACTTTGTGTCTGTCTGGTTTAAGAAATTAGACGTTTAGACTCGCCAAGCTGCTGCTAAAACCTGGATACCAGTATAGTTGATATTTGTTATTTTTAGTCTATTTTCAAGTTTATTTTTGAATTGGTCTGTTTTATATCTGTTTCTGAAAAATATTGGTGGCGCAAAAATATAACTTACTCGTGGAAATGTTTTCAGTTTCTCGTGGAACTTTGTTTTAGTTCCCAGAACAAATAACCATTAAACAACTGTCAATGATTTCGAGCATTGGAGTTTTATGTGTTACCCGTGTTTGAACATATGTATTACAATGGTGTGTACGTGTGAACATTAGTGTTGTGTTGAAGTATAAGGTTTACAATGATTCAACACGTAATATAAATCAGACTACAATACAGTATATAGTAGGAGGTGGGGAAGCTGTAGTAGAGGCTCTTCGTGGTTGGATCTCGACTTGATTACCGAACAACGGAGAATCAAAAGCGCTTGAGTTGATTTCCAATTCCAAGACTTCCTTTCTAGCGAGCAGTGGCGGCCTGTGTTTGAGCTTTCTAGCAAGATTGTTTAATTTCATCGCCCCAGGCGTGATGTATGAAGAGGGAAGGCGATATGTTTTTCGAATCAAAGGAAATGGGGAAAATTCGGTCCTATTTATGGTACGGGCGATGTGTATGACAGTCATTTCCTTTAGAGCCGCGCAAGAGATGCCATACATATCGACTCCATTGCGCGGACGCGCCAATTCGGAATCCGCACGTTCGTCTCCGTTGGCGGACTGGACGCGAGCAGGCTGGGATCGTGGCTCATCGTTGGCCAATAGACTTTGAAAAACGATCCGAAAAACAGGACAGAGACTTTATTTGCGTTAATTACTGTCAAACGTTTTGTGTGAGGCGTGCTAACAGACTTGAGTTAACGGTCTGGCACGCACCAGTAGCCCCTAGTTTCACGAGTGCTGTTAATTGCCACTATTAATCACCAATGGTTCGATAAGGTCGCCAATTAGAGAACAAAAATCGCACTACTTTCACTTGCGGTGTGTTCTTCTTTCGATTAGGTCAAGTATTCTCAATTTACGGACGTATGCCAGCAGATTAGTGTAAACTCCCCGTCACCATTAATCTGTCCTCTCCCCGACTCTTCCCCTAAACACGCTGAGAGATTAAATGAATCTCTGACAACAACCCTAAAGATACGGGAAGGAAACCGCCATTACGATAATTTGTCTTTTCGTCCGATTCTCTGGCAGGATAATGGTGCCATTAACTCTGCAAGGATCTGTTGGTCTGGAGAGGATGCAGACCCTTGTCTGAATGAAACTGTTAAAAGATCATCGGGTTTACAGTTAAGGCAGAGCGATGTGTTTCTAAAATATTGTAGATAGCCTATTCTTAACACGCATTGTGCTGCATATAGTTAAGTAATTTCGTGAGGTTAATATGTAACGCTACCTTGAATGGGGTGAGTGAGTGAGTTTAGTTTTACGTCGCTTGTAGCAATATTCCAGCAATATCACGGCGGGGGACACCAGAAATGGGCTTCACACATGTTACCTTGAATGGATGAAGTAATGTTTCGTCGGTGTGTCTTGAACGAAAACATGTTTTCTGAAATTAAGTTTACATCAAGGACGTGTATCAGAAATATACGCAAGAAACGCCATTTCCATTACCACAAGAAATCTCGAAGTTCCTTGTTCGAATCTGACTCTATCAAGAGAATATGTTTCTGAATGTCTATCAAATGGTAATGATACCACGTGTTCGCGAAACGGTCAGCGTATCCTTCCGCATCGTTGGCTCCCGACACACATGCACAGGCTTGTCAAGTATTCGTTCTGAATAAGGACGGAAGCATATGGAACGATCAAAGGTAAAAGTTTAAAACTCGCGATGTAGGATATGAACCTGCACCTTTAACGTGAGAATGCTTGAAAGATATGGGCTATATCAAACTTTATAACAAAAAATATTCATCTGGTCGACGAAGAATGCCACTAAACTTGGGCTATTTTAGTAGATATATGTCGTGAAAAAACTAAAATGTCGCAACGTCTCGTCACGAGGCGAGATGTTACGAAATGGGGCATAAACATGTCACTGTTTGGAAATTAAACATACTTCATGATGACAGGGCAATAGAAGTGAAGATTGTTGAGGCGACTATTCCCACACTCGATAAGTGTTCATAGTACAACGAAGCGGAGGAATTAGACACAGTGTGCATTTGTGGAAAGTAAGATATAAATAACCGTCTCAAGTTAAATCGGGGGAAATGGCAGATAGGCGATAGGCAAGATATCCTTAAGCCTTGTTGCAGGATCCGCCAGTAACAGGTTTATCTCACACTGTAAACAAATGCTGGCGATGGTCCGAGCCAAGCTTTCATGTCATCCAAGTTAAAAATCATAAATATGAGAGTTTTGGCGTATAACACCATTGGTACGTAGTCTTGATGGAATCGCGGACCGATATCTCAGTGATACGGCCAAAGATAGTGCGGGTACCGCTGTTTGCCGTCCCATTACTGCTGCCCTCAGCGCGGAGAGATACGTAAATCTGACTCGCGGAGGGTCCCATGGGAATAAGCGTATCTTGGTTCCATAGAGGCTATCTCAGTGCGAATATCATAGAACGAAACAATAATCTCTTGTTCTTTCACGCCATGTGGCACGAAAAGGATATTTATGAGAGATAAGGGTCGAGTTGAATTTCAGCGAAGCTCGAATTTAACACACAAGTGTGATCTATGCTTCGACACATTGACTAAGACAAAGGCTGGGGTACTAAAGCATACCCCTGACAACGTCCCCCCTTCACACGCTGATCCCCTTTGTCCCCTTATTAAGTATCCCCCTTCCCCCTTCATTATCGGAGGAAGCTATAATGACCGCATACTCCCTATCGCTTTAAACGCTGGGCGAATTACATAGTGGACAAATTGTTCTTCAATGGATCGTGTAAATGACGGAAGCATTAAATCACCGCGGGTGAAAGCGAAGGGGTGTGGAAACGCCGTACTCTTCTCGTATTCTGGTAGATTTTTCACACACACTTAACCGAGGCTATTCATTCCGACGCGAGCTGATTGTTCTCTTATCCTAAATGTTCCTCGAGTAGGGAAATGTTGACGCTAATTTTGCATTTATTTTGTACATTAATCTTCAATAAACCACAAAAGTTGAATCTATATATGTATTTGTACACTATAACTAAACAAGAGAACGACCATAGGTATAGAACACACATTAACAAATAAGTATTGTTTTACGAC